CTGAACCTGGCATCTGAACCCTCGAGCCTTGGGCCACTGAAGCAGAGTGTATGAACTTAACCACTGTGCCACCGGGCTGGCCCCTAAGTCCATGTTTTTTAAAAACCTTTTTGTCTCTTTAACAAATTTAGTTATTAGGTAATTTTCCGATTAATTAAAAACATCTGACTTTCTCTTCTCTGTCTCCTCCCTGCACTGGAGTAGAGTGACTGAGAGGGGGATGGTCGATGAGGTCAGGGAGGGAATGGGGAGCTAGATCCAGAGTTCTGTCTTACACCTTGGTGGGAGCTCTGCTGCTTTGTCTGAGGCAGTGCGGGAGCCAGTGGGGTGCTTTGGGGTTTTGAGCGAGCTGTGGCATGATGTGACTTGCGGCTGTAACAGGATCACTGCTGTGTGGCATGGATTGAAGGGGGCCCAGGTAGGAACAGGGAGATCAGGCAAGAGTCTGTTGATGTCATCTGTGATATCAACTTTATGTGTCAACTTGGTAGCACCATGGTGTCCAGATATGTGGTCAAGCATTATTCTGGATGTTTCTGTGAAGGCGTTTTTTTGGATGAGATTAACATTTAAATTGGTGGATTGTGAGTAAAGCTGATTACCCCCCATAATGTGGGTGGGCCTCATGCAATTAGCTGAAGACTTAAACACCTACGACCTCCGCTGAGCAAGGAGGCCTTCTGCCCTTCTGCGTGCTGACTCCCTTTAGACTTGGACTGAAACTGCTGGCCTGCCCTGCAGCCTGTGAACTTGCACGTCTACGACTGCATGAGCTAATTCCTTAAAATTAGTCTCTCTCTCTCTCTCTCCACATCCTGTCGGTTCTGTTTCTCTGGAGAACCCTCAGTAATACATCATCCAAGCAAGAGAGGGGACAAGGGCTTAGGCCAGGATGGTAGCAGTGGAGGTGGTAAGCAGTGGTGCAATTTAGGATATGTTCCTAGGACAGAGTCGAGGACTTTGTAGCTGGATTGGATATGGAATATGAGGGGGGAAGCAATCATGGGTGACACCAAAGTTTTTGGCTGAGCATCTGGAAGGTGTTGCCATCAACCAAGAAAGGCAAGACTGCAGGAGGAACTAGTTTATGGGGGAATACCATGAGTTTGATTTTGAACATGTTAACTTTGAAATTCCTGTTAGACAACAGTAACTGTCGGCAGTCTGGAATTGAGGAAAGAAGTCTGGCTGGAGCCTAGGCATTTGTGAATTTAAGGTTCTCAGCCCGATGAGATGAGATCTCCCAGACTCTGGGTGATAGATCCCAGTGGGTGGATGCAGAGAGAGAAGAAGTCCAAGGACCCAGGCCTGGAGCACTTGGATGTTTAGAAGTTGATGAGGTGGAATGAGTCCTTTGAGACTGAGAATGGACAGCTGGAAGGATCAGAGGGAAACCAAGCACTGGCTTTAAGTTGTGAGCCCACTTAAAGTAAACACTTGTTTGCGTAATGTCCCGTATGTCATCTCTTAGTACTTGTATGGAATTGTTTTGTGTTGTTTTCCCCACCCAGGAACTTCTTGAGGGTGTTCAGTTTTATTCTCACAGAATCTCCACCTGGTAGTGCAGCACCCGGTGTGTGCTGGGAACGCAGATGGTTGTGTGGATGGATGGACTGCCTTAGTAGGTCTGCACTGTGTGTGCTTACAGTGTGCTGCGTCCTTACTCTAGGAGTGATGGGAGTTGCTTCCTCATCCACTCCTGCCTGATTGAACCATAAAATCTGCCTTACTCCTCTGACCATGGCTCATTTCCCTGAGGGGGGGTGTGTGTGTGTGTGTGAGTGTATACAGTTAATCCAGTAGAAATCAGAATATCCTGCCAACTGTACCATAAAATATTTCCAGAATAAGAGTGTGTGTCACTGTTTACACTGTCACTACCCTGGACTAAATAAACCACCATCGTCTCTTGCCAGGATTATCGCAAAAGCCTTCTATTTTGGTCTCCTGGCTTCCAGTGATTTATTCTAGCACCTAGAAGAATACCTGCGTGATGTAGATGCTCAGTTAATATTCGTTGAATGAACAAATTCTTGAGTAAACATTCATACCTAGGGTTCTTTGAGCACATATTTGTCTTTCTGTGGGATAGACGGCTGTTTGAACAAAATACAGGCTGTATTGTGGGCTGCTGAGCGTGCTCCATCTGGCGTCTGACTCATCTCCTGGTGCTCTGGCGCTGCCCCCGGTCACACTGGCATTTCCCTGTGTCCTGAAGATACCAAACTCATTTCCCCCTTGGGCTTGGGGCTTCTGCATCTACTCTTTCTTTTGCCTGGAGTGCCTGCCCTCTTTCTCCTCCCTCTGCCCTGTTTCCTCCTTTGCCTGACAGGCTCCATCCATCATTCGGGGCCCTGTGCAGATGTCTGCTCCTTGAAGAAGTCCCTGATGGCCTCGGCCTCCATGGCTACAGAAGTCCTCCCCCACCTTCTTTCCCAGTCTCTCTAGTCTATTTCAAGTTTTTTTCCTCCTCTAAAGCACTTTCACATGCCCCAGGTCTTGTCTATTAGTGATGTGTTTTGGCACCTCCTCCATCTCAAAGGGCTCAGAATGTTCTTAGGTTTCTGGCTTGTACAATTGGGTGAATTGGCAGTGTTGGCGTTTACTGAGATAGAAAACGCTAGTTGAAATGTTTGAAGAGTTAAACACTTTTTTTGTGTGTGTGTGTTGATTCCTTTGTTCCCTTGTGAATTTTATTTATCCTTTTAGAAAACAAACCTCTGTGACTGGTTTGGAGCATGTTGCTTTAAGTTGCCTCTGGGCATTGAGGAAGAGGTGTCAGGTGGGCAGTTGGCTCTGGTTTGGAGCTCAGAGGGTAAGTTGGGGCTGGAGGCCGTGCGGGGGCCTGACAGACTGATGTGAATCCCAGCTCTGCTGTTTACTGTCTCTGATATTGGGCCAGGCATTGAACAGGTCTGAGGCTGTTTGCTCATCTGTCAAATGGGAATAACATCACCTACTTTCAAGGTTAGGATTAAGTGAGAATATACATACAGTGTTTAGCCCAGTGCCTCGCATGTAGAAGAGTGACTTTCATGTTATTAAATGGATTGGGCTGGTTAATAATGCTAACTTTTGAGAGCTTACTATGTGTTAGGTATGCGGAATACTTTTACATGGATTAGTATATTTAATCTTTATTATTTCCTAGCCAAAACTTTTAGCTACTGTGCCAATACTGCTTTCTCTTTATAAAACATACCTGAAGCTTTCCTATTAGTCCTCTCCTCCGTCTGCACCCCCCTTTTATTTTTAACCCTCACTCCTTTGTCAACTTGAGGTACCGTAAACAGCCCATGTATAAAAGCATGGATCTCTTAATGTTCAGGAAGTTATTTGTGTTAAAACTTCTATTTGATTTGTAGATTTTCTAGATACAATTATAGTTTTAAATTATGTGCACTGATGCTGTCACAGGAAGCATGGTTATAGGTTATTGCCAAAAACAAAGTGAGAGGTAGAAGCTCAGAAGGAATGCTAAAACTCACTGTATTTTTCCACTCCCTTTTGAAGTCTGATTGTAGAGTTAACTGTCTTGTGGTGACCTAGAGTGGCCCAGGGTCACTTTCAGCCTGTGTTAGTGGGATGGCGTAACCGTCTACAGCTTCTTCAGTCAGTGGAAGCTTTCGGATAAGAGATACTTAGAAAAATTATCTTCTTCCCATCTGAACCGGGAGAATGGCCCTCCTTTGAAAGTGCTGTGGGCTTAGTCATTTCTTTTGTTCAGTAGCTATTTGAGGTGCCTTGGAGGGAGAATGAAATGTTTTCGGCCTCTTTCTGGTGTATATTTCCTGATATGCACGGCGAGGTTGCCAGTTGTAGTACTGCATTTCATAGACAGACTCCAAGTTCTGTTTAAAGCAAAAATTTTGTTCTCACCATTAAGGCAGTATTGAAACTCTTGTTCGCTACTTTCTATATCCACTGAACAATAACCAGTTATGTACTTTTGGGGACATTTATGTCTCTTACAAATAGTTTCCCTCTAAGAAATCTTACAGTGATTGAAGAAGCCATAGAGAGTTGTCATGAAAACTGAACAAAAAGGGAACAGGAATGAGAGGTGTCTTTTATTTTAGACCCACTTGGGGCCATGTTTCCGTTTACCTTGTCTCATTAAACCCTGGTTAGATTGACACCATTTATTACATGGTTAGGATTTAAGACCAAATTGAGGCCGGTTCAGAATTGTATAGAAGTTGGCGAAGAGGGCAGAGAAAAAATGAGTGAGAAGGGTCTTTTTTTTGAGTGTATATTTAGTTCCAATCTTGAATTTCTTTTTCCATTTTATTTTATTTTTTTTTTGAGAAAGATTAGCCCTGAGCTAACATCTGCCACCAGTCTTCCTCCTTTTTTGCTGAGGGAGACTGGCCCCGAGCTAACATCCGTGCCCATCTTCCTCTACTTTATAAGTGGGACGCCTGCCCCAGCATGGCTTGCCAAGTGGTGCCATGTCCACACCCGGGATCCGAACCGGCGAACCCCAGGCTGCCGAAGTGGAACGTGCCAACTTAACTGCTGTGCCACCCGGCCAGCCCCTCTTTTTCCTTCTTAGATGAAAAAAGCGCCCCCCAAATCGCCAAATATAAAGTTACAGACATTAGATTCTTTGGACTTACCTTTAAGAATGGTAAAGATTCTAGCACTTTATAATAAAAATAAATCTGACTAATGAATAGTTTCCTACTTTACTGAAATTATGGAATGTTGAATTTTATGTATTAAATATTTTGCTATTTTAAATGAACGTAATATCAGTTTAAATGATATGTGAGCACTGATTTTTTGTTTTTGAGTGGCAACTATAATGTTGTTAAACCAGTCCATTTCTTTTTACTGTTATAATATAGAGCTGCGTTTTTTATACTTTCCCTTATTTTTGGTTGAGATTAAGAGTGAATCTGAGCGTTGGGCTGAAATACCGCTTTACTTTCCAACTGCACATTATTTCCTCCTTTGCCGCTGTCTTCCCCTCCCCCTCCCCTTCTGAGAATGACTGATCTGGAGACGATTCAGTGTTATGTTGTAAAGATAAGATTCACATTAGTCACTTATTTTATTCTATATTTAGCTTTCTTTTAGAATAAAAGTCAGGGTTAATATCTAAATTTCATACAGAAGTTGTCAAATTTCATATTAAATAAAATGCCTTAGTTCCTGTGAGATGTGTTTGAGGTATAAGAAAACACTTCAAACCTTTTTTCAAAATATTTAGGAAACAGTTAAGAGCATACTGTTCAATGAAAACATTGCATTTTTAGAGAGGTTAAAAAAGGAACACTGTTTAAAACATAGGCTTCGTCCACGGGAATTCTAACTTCTGACCTTGCAACAAAGAGAAACATGAAGTCACATCACTTTTTCTTATCCTTAATGTTAAGAGTTCTGGTACTAACATGGTCATAAAAACTCCTCTGGTTATAAGTAACTTAACTTGATGGGTAATAGTATGGTAGGTTCCATATTCTGTGTGAGAACGTCGGGAACCTGTTCTTTGTGTTTTTGTCTACGTAACTTGAAATAGTGGGTATTTCCTCTTTGTCTGGACTCTTGGGGCTTTCACCTGGGGTCGGAGAACGAGCCGCGCAGGCTGTGCTCCGAGGCTCTTCCAAGCCCTCTTGCTGCTGCCCGCCTTTGTCCGTACTGCTTAGGAAGTCTTTCAGAACTTGCTTGAAGATGTAGACTATTTCCCATGGCAGTACATCATTTTCTGCCAAAACTTCTCGAAATCTAGAGGGAAAGCAGTAATGAGTATTGAATTCAGAAAGTTTCTTTTGTCATATCCCTTTATCTCCAAAGTATAGTTTATAAAATGTAATCATATAGTAGTTAACCACCTTTTGAGTAATCTGCACGTTGCTTTAAAGTTATGCTTCTAGTAAAGAACTTTTGAATGTGGTGTAAAAACATTTCCTAGCCAGTAAGATAACAACAGATATTTTTGTCCAGCTTCTCCTTAGGGATTTAGGTTGCTGGGGATTTGATACATGTGATTAAAGAATTTATATGATAGGATACAATTTCCAGTTTAAATGTATGGGGCGCTTAGACTTGACAGTAGCAAATATCACAAGAAGAGAACATAGTATTTTTACCTGCTGAGAATGGTTCCAGTTTGACAAGGCTGAACTTGTGAGCAAAGAGCTTCAAGTTGTCTTTGTTCAGAAGCTGGGATGGTCATGTGGGGATTCTGGTGGTTTCTCAGCCAGTTGTAATCCACACTTGTTTTTTTCACTTTTTGTTCATTTTCAATCTCTTGTATTAATCTCTCTCGCTCCTTTAGATGCCACTTCAATTCTCGAAGTAGAGTCTTTGTTACTACATCTGAGCCAGGATAGTGTGTGGGTTTGTAGGAATCGTATTTTGGCCATTTCATCCAGCTGAAAAGTGGCATTTTTAGCCTATGGAAATATTCTCACTTGTTTATTTGCATAAAATGTTATGGTTCTGATGAGCAAATATGTTTCTTTACAATAATTTTGCCAGAAAAGTGCATGAATTTTTCACTGGTTAGATATACTAGGTCAAAATAACATTAGAACATGGATTAAAGTCTTTTAATTTCTAACTAGGTCAGTGCCAAAAACCAAGCTTTGAAAATACTAAATAGCTAAGCAGAAATGAAATATACAAAGTCAGAGACAATCTACAGACTGAACATTTTCTGAAAATAACACTAACACTTGCTGTTAAAAGTTCTTAGGAGGCTTTAAAATATTAACATATAGGAAAGTGCTATCTACAAACGTACTTTTGACTTTTGTTTTGTACAGAAAAGGTTTAAAGCATACCTGTTATGTGGTTGGATCCGATGTCGTGATGTTTCCGAAGAGTTTACTTGAACTGGTGCTGAAGGTGTGTTTTACTCAGGCGTATCTTGTTCTCCTGGATGTGTCCCCTGTTGAAGGAATGAGCGTCCTTGTTTACCCACTGAAACTGTATTTGAAATAAATAACTTTCTATGTTAGGAATGAGGTTGTGATGTCTTCATTTGGAGAGAATTCTCATTAATTCACCTTGTAAGTAAGCTAGAAGAAATGACAAAAATAACTTACTATTTAATCTTCACAAATTATATAATAGTCTGCCTTTTGAATGTGGCTCTGTCTATTTGAAAAAGATGCCGGCAGCTACGAATTCTGGTCCTCAGTGCATTTAGACATCTCTTTGGTAATGAAATGAAGCACGGTCGTCTGAAGCACCACAGATGCGCTCCCAGCTGAGGTGAAGTCTGTCGCATGATGTGATGCTCTACTGTGCATAGCTGCGGGTCACAGTTTAGTGCTGTATTTTTATGCCTGTAGAGCTCTAAAAATAACCATGTTGCTTTTAGTCTTCAGCTTAACTTTCAGGCCGTTTAGAAGCCGGGTCACTGTCCCCTTTAATGAAAGCAGGAAAAATACATCAGATTTGACTCTTTGCAAAATATCCGTTCTGAGAACGCTTGTTATAATTGAGCAAAATAGACAATGCAGATATCAGTCATGTGTGAAGTATGTAGTAAATGTTGCATTCTGTACTCCTTTTGTTTTTCTTTCTAAATAATAGTTAAATTTGTATATTTAAGCAAGTTGTAATGCTAGAGGACGTTATATACGCTTAAGTAGATCAAGTTTAAAATATACTTTATAATCTCTTTAAAAAGATGGTGATAAGGCAATAAGAGATTAAGGTCAGAAAAAAATAGACATTGAGAACATACAAAGTTCAAAACAAAATCTTATAATTCATGATAGGAAATCATTTTAGTGTTTTCTTTTGGAGCTGAAGGTGAAATACTTATACGCACTATTTGGGCGAGTACTGCTGTGTGATGGTGTTTACTCTGCTAATTTTCTATTCATATGTTGTGTGTCTTCTACTCAAGAACAGACGGTCTTTACTCTTTAGTTCTGTGTTAAATGACTACATAGTGGTTTTTCCTTTTACTGTATAATATTTGTTTCTTCTATTACTTTTTCCTTCAAGTGAACTGTGAAGAACAGACATCGTTTACATCAGACCTGCATGTCATGCATGATAAAGAGTGACGTGTGTGGTCATCCTACAGCTCCTGTTACTTATGCGTTAGGAAAAGCCAGATGTCGGCATGCATTATCTTCAACTAGCAGGTTTTCATGTTACATTGTGGTTACTGCTATGAAAAGGAAGGGAGTAAAGTTTATCGTGACAGACCGTCCTCCCAGATTTTCTACTAAAGTTACGACGAATCCTGCTCCCTCTTCCTTTGAATTACCTCCTCAATATTGCTTTAATTTTTTAACTTTTTGCTCCTGAAATGGTAACAAAAATATCAGAAATAGATTGGATGTGGAACATAAACCGGCTTCCTGTTCCAGGCGCCTGCAGTCTTGCATTGTCTCCGATCCAGCTTCCCTCTTGCTCTCCTCAAGAGTCTGTCTGCTTTTTCAGCCAGTCCTGGCTGCCCCGACGCCTCCTGTGCTCCTCTCACCCTCAGCTTTGGTCACACTGACTCTGTCTTCTGAGGGGCTTATTTTCTCTCTTTTCCGTGTACCCACATTGTAGTTTTCTTTTTCAGGGCCCAGTGTAAACTCCAACTAATTTTTTTTTTTCTGTCTGAGGGAAAACATCACCTTGTTTTCCTTGGTCCTACTGTTCCTTTGAACTCTCTTGTTAAACATATGGAGAGACTACTCTGTGTTCCTCTTCTGTCTTCTTTCTCCCTGTTTTCTCATCTTTTCTGATTAGATTCTGCTCTGTCTTCCCCTGTAATTGCTCAGCGGATGTTTATGGACTGTGCCATGGCCCTGATGCTGGTTAGGGCCTGGGGATGCAGCCGTAAACAGGACAGTCCTGGTCTCTGCCCTCCTGGAGCCCACCTTCTAGTGGGAAAACAAGTACAAGTACACGAGTTGTCCAGTAACGTGGTCCTGGATCACCAGGCGTGGCATACTGTACTCCAGGCCTCCCCCAGTGAGATGCGGAGGTCAGGGAAGGCCTTTCTGGGTAGGGGATGTCCTTTAAGCGGAGACTTAAAGATCAATGAGCCGGCCACACAAAGAGCTTCTTGGAGGCAATCTCCCTCCTCCCCTTGACTCATTTAGCACCCAACTTGCCGTTGAGACTATTGCTAAAGTCTGACCCTCACAGAACTTTTCTTACCACCTCGGCTCACATTCAGTACACTGTCCTTTGATCTTATTAGTGTAAAGCAATTTTTCTGGTACTCAGGGTGTGCTATGTATATTAATATGTTTTATTTTTTCTGTCCTATTTACTGAGATTGTGAGATTGAAATAGAGCCCAAATATCATTCTCTGATTATGGTAGTTCTATACTGTGTAGATACAGAACATAAATGTTTGTAGGTCAAGATAAGGAAGGACCTTTGCATTAACCTTTCCTGTTTATCAGGGTGTAGCTGAGTTCACATTGGATTTTATTTATCAAACATTTTAGTGAGTCAAATAAATGAATTGTTTCTAATGAATTACAGTCTTATTAGGATATTTTGTGTAGAAGACATAAAGCTTAAACTATGAAACAATTAGGTCCATTTCTTTTCGGTCATTGTCACGGTTTTCCAGGCTACATCTTGTTAGTTGAATGAAATTTTTTTTTTTGAGGAAGATTAGCCCTGAGCTAACATCTGCTGCCAATCCTCCTCTTTTTGCTGAGGAAGACTGGCCCTGAGCTAACATCCATGCCCGTCTTCCTCTGCTTTATATGTGGGATGCCTGCCACAGCATGGATGGCCTGCCAAACGGTGCCATGTCTGCACCTGGGATCCAAACCGGTGAACCCCAGGCTGTAGAGGGGGACCATGCGAACTTAACTGCTGCGCCACCGGGCCGGCCCCTGAATGAAATTTTATAAGACTTGAAGTGAAATAGGACTGTATCATTCATAATGTGTGTATGTAAAATTTTAAGATATGTAAGGAAGTACGTAAGATAATTTTGGAAAGATAAACTTTTGGAATTTTGAAGGGCAAGCTAAGGAGCCAGGCACAACTTTTACGTATTTACAGTCAGGGCCTTCTAGTATGGCACTCAGCAGCATTTCATTGCAATTTAAGGAAGATTTTTCATTGTGAGGAGATTAATATTCTTCTGTTTTTAATTCCTTAGCTACTGATTACAAGTTCTGCATTGTTATTTGTGTGTGTGTGTGATTAAAGATGCAGTTAACATTTGAGGAGAAACTGTGATGTTAAATGTCTTTTACCAAATTATTTCCTCTTTAAAATATTTTAATTAAAGGACACTAATATATGTGCTTTTTAAAGTTAAAAATCACATTTCTGTTGGGTTGTTTATGTCTTACTGATTTATAGGATTTTTCAGTGTGCTCCTATGTTATGTACTGCAAATGTGTTCTTTCAAGTGACCACTGTTCTTGCTCTTTAACATTTATGACATTGTTTGCAAGTTTTAAATTATAATTCAGATAAGTTTATTGATATTTCCTTTCCCTTTTTTGTGCTCTTGTTTGAGAAGGCCTTCTCTGCTTCCAAGTTATAGTTACAGGAGAACGTTAGCTTTATAAGGCTTAAAAAATAAGTATCTGGGTGTTGGGTTGATTTGGAATTGGTTTGACATGGGTGTGAGATGTTGGGGATTGGGCTTGTTTTGTCCTCATTTTGGGTAGCCGGTGTCTAAAGTAAGTGGTCATTGCTGCACCCAGGAGATTTTCCTGGTTCTTCCAATGCTGAGTAATTGTGGTGTGTATCCTGGGCATTTTAAATACTATATTATGGGACTCTGAGTCTTGTTTAAATCCTGTGTAGAATGTAGCTGACCAGCTGTGTTCAGGCCGCAAGTTCCAGCCAGCCTTCTGTGGGCTGTGGTTTCAAGGTCCATTGGGTTTTAGAGCCTTTGTCGTGCCATCTGGATCTGTCCTCCACTGTGCCACCTAGTGGCCATTCTGTAGCTCAGGTCTCAAACTCTGTGATGGGCTGTCTGCAGTCAGTGCATGCCCACCCAGCCCAGGGGTGTGCCCAGCTATTCATAAATGGCTTAGGGTCTGTGATTTCCCAAGTGCTTTCCTGTCCTTGGGGCTTCCCCGTTTTGGTCCTCTGGCCAGAAGGCTGGGGCTTTATTGCCCTGCTCTGCCATGTACTTACTGCAATTGCATCCACGTGCATCCACACCCCAGGGCAAGCAGTGGGAAGATAGAGAAACAAAAGGCAGTAAGGGTTTGCCCCATCCTCTTAGAGAGGGAATTCCCCTCCTTCAGAGTCTGAGGCACCTGCTGTCCCTGGAACATGAGAGAATGGAGAAAAGAAAAAAAAAACCTGGAGACTGCCCCCGTTTTGAGCGTTTGGAATCCACTTTCCTGCTCCCCAGGGCACAACTAGAGCTGCTCCTGGGGTTGCTCTGTTTGTTGGCTCCTGCTTCTGCATTCTGCACTGTGGTGAGTTCGGGTCAAGGGATACCAGTTAAAAAGTGGTAAACTCGCTGCTGGTTTGGTGGGGTTCTGAATTCTCGTCTTCTTCCCCCAATCTACCTGTTGGCGTTTCCTTTTCAGAGTCATCAAATAGCTGCTGGTGCATGCTGTCCAGCGTTGACAGCTTCATTCTGTGGGAGACACAGGGTGCTGTGTGTTTACTTGATCTTACCAGAAACTGAAACTTTGGAATCATTCTCGACGACTCTTTTTCTGCTTTTTCATACCCAGGTCTAATACGTCAGCATATTCTGTGGGCTCCCCTTCACTGCTGCCTCTCCAGTCTAGGCCACATCTCTGGCCGTGGTTATTGTGGTGGTCTGTTAGGTGGTCTCCCTGCTTCTGCTGTGTCGGTGCCCCTGTCATCCCACCCTGCTTCACCTGGTCAGAGGGATCCTGTTAAAATAGGAGTCAGATATTGTTATTTCTCTCTCTGCTCAAAACTCATCTCAGAACAAAAGCCCACCTCCTCATAATTACCGCTGCCAGTCCTGCAGGACCCCACCCCGCCCTCCTCTGGAAACTCCGGCTCTTCCTCCTACCTCTAGGCAAACCCCCATCCTCTTCCTGCTCCCTCTCCTGCAGCCACATGGGCCTCCCACCTCTCCCTGGCGTACTCTTACCTCAGGGCTTCTGTTTTCCTGTGTTCTTGGTCAGGAGATCTTCCTGCTTACGCAACTGCATGGCCCTTCTCTTACTTTCTTCTGATCTTTGCTTGAATGTCACTTATCCTCCTATTAACATTGCAACCCTCCTCACCCCATCTCTTCTCCGGGTTCCATTTTCCTCTGTATACTTATGACTGTCTGACATACTCCATGTTTTACTGTGCTCCTCTCCCCAGCTAGACTGTCCACTCCCTGAGGACAGCCTGCCAACTGCTTTATCCCAAGTGCCTAGGACAGTGCCTGCATGGAGCCAGCCCTGAATTCTTAATGTGTTGAGTGAACTGAT